CAGTGAGAAGTTTTCGTTACAATTAGTGGAAAGCCTACTGTCAGCCCACAGCTACCAATATTGTAGTTGGTGTCTGAACTACTTGATCGGGGACAAAAAATCAATAAAATCTTCTTCAGGCAACTGGACGTAGCCTCTTGTTCGCAGGCCCTGGTCCTTATGGGGATTTTAACCACTTGATATCTATAGAGGGCAACACAACAGGTGACGAGCAATCCAGGAATTTCCGAGAGTGCATTGATAACTCCCTGACACAGGTAATCAAGGAGCTGATGATGGGAGCTCTGCTGTGCCTCATACTTTTATAAACAAGAACCAATTGAGGATGTGAATGTCAGGAGCAGCCCTGACTGCAGTGAGCATGAAATGGTGGAGTTCAGGATGCTGCAAGAAGGGAATAGGGCAAAAAAGAACTATCACAGTTCTGGGCCTCAGAAGAGCAAATTTCACTGTTGAGGGCTCTGAGTGGAAGAATGCCACGGGAGGTGGTCCTGGAAAGATGAGGATTCAAGGAAGGTTAGTTGATTCTGTAAGACCTTCAAGCACAACAGTTGTCTAACTGGACAAAGAGAAAATCAAGGGAAGGCAGCAGTTAGCCTGCATGGATGAACAGAGATCTCTTGACTAAACTCAAACATAGAAAGGACACATACAAGAGGTGGAAAGGTTGAAGTCCACTTGGAGTTGAATTCAGTGAGTGCTCTAAAGAGCAACAGAAAGGACTCCCACAGGGATGTCAGCTGTCAAAGTAAGATGAGGGAAATTGTGAGTGTGCCCTGAATGGAGCAGGAGACTTGGTGACAATGGACATGGAAAAGGCTGAGGTACTGAATGCCACCTTTTCCTCCATCATTTTTGCTGGGATTTGCACTTGAGATGAAGGAGAATGCATGAAGCAAGGAATATTTACCCTGAGTGGAAAAAGAGCAGGTTAGGGAATATTTAAACAAACTGAACAGACATAAGTCCGTGGGTCCTGATGCAATGCCCCCAGTAGTTGGCTAATGTCCTTGTGAAGCCATTCTTGATTATCTCTGAAAAGTCATGCTGACTGAGGCCTCAACAGGCTAGAGAAAAAGGAACTTCAAGCAGATCAACAAAAGGAAATGACAAGTCTGAGGAGGAATAACTTCATGCACCTGTACATACTGGGGCCTGACTGTCTGGAGAGCTAGTTTGCAGAAAAGGTTCTGGTATGCAGTAAGTTGACCAGGAGCCAGCAATGTGCCCTTGTGGCAAAGAAGGCCACCACTATCCTGGGCTGCATTGGAAAGACAATTGTCAGCAGATTGAGACGTGTGCTCCTTTGCCTCTATTCAGCACGTGGGCTGCATTGGAAAGACAATTGCCAGCAGATTGAGGCGTGTGCTCCTTTGCCTCTATTCAGCACTAGTGAGGCCACATCTCCAGTGTTGTGTCCAGTTCTAGGCTCCTCAGCACAAGAGCAACACAGATGTACGGCAGTGAGTCCAGCAAAAGGCCATGAAAACCATTAAAGACTTGAGATATTGGATGTATGAACAGAGGCTGAGAGAGCCAGGACTGTTTAGCCTGGGGAAGAGAAGGCTCAAGCAGGGTCTTGTCAATGCATAGAAATACCCAAAGGCAGGGAGTAAAGAAGACATAGCCAGGAACTTAGCAATA